TTTTTTAAAACTAATTATATTAAACTTTTATTATTAAATTTAGGTAAAAGCTTCTATAACTTATAAATATAGTATATTTATACTATATACTAAAAGTTTTAAGTTATTTTATTAGAAATCTTTTTATTTAACCTTTAGTAACTTAATATATAATAGATATATTTTAGTGATTTTTTTATATTAGAAATCTTTTTATTTAACCTTTAGTAACTTAATATATAATAGATATATTTTAGTGATTTTTTTATATTCCTAAATACTAAGTATAGTAGTATATAATAGTAAAAATCTAGCTAATTCTATTAGAGCGTTACAATTTAGCAATGTTGTTGGGGTTTTTAAGAAACCGTGCACGAGGTGGTAGCGTGCACGAGCCAGTCGCCACTTCTAAGGTCGCAAAGTGTTGTATGCTTCCGTCAAGAAACTCCCGCATCTTTGGAAATTGCTAATTTGACGGCTATATAGGAACAGCAGAAACATGCATCAGAGGTTCAGCATGCAACGTCGAAATCGCGTGCGCTTCTTCTAGGAAAGATTACATTACAGGAAGCACTCGAGGATGACGATAACACGCTTCTGAGAATAACATACCCCGAGCAACGATTGCGTTTCTTTGTCTATCTCCTCACTTATCGTGATAAAATTAAAGCTATTGTGTCGTGCCACCTAGGCTCTAGCAAAGGGAACATTTGTCGAATGGCAGAACCCTCGGAGTGGATGACGGGCAGCTTCAATGTTTGCATACCAATTTACGCCGACAAATGGGCTCACGACACCAGCAAAAGAGTGCTTATCCGGTTTCCTCTACCCTACAAGACAGGCGACTCAAAATATCTAGGAAATGCGGACGAGAAGCTCCGTTGTGAAGCCGCGGCCTTTATCTGGATCCGGCAGAACTGTCCTTCTGTTCCAATACCATACTTATGGGGTTTTGGTTTCTCCAATGGGCAGAGTGTATGTTTTCGTGGCCTACCTTAAGACAATATGCTAATCTCTTTGTTGAATCTATACAGTTCACCACGCCTGAAAATATGCCCTTTTACACCCGACTAATGTGGTGCTTTTAACAGACCATATTATTGCTACTTAGATACTCCCTCCCATGTCGATACATAGGCCACAGATGTCCCTATCCCCTAGAGACTGGATATCTTGTTATGGAATATATAGAAGAGAAAGATAGGAAGATGCTTTTAGAATCTTGGGAAGAACTACGTCATAACCGCGTCCGAAGGGCCAACCTTTTCAGCGATCTGTCTTGTATTATCCTCTCCTTGACTCAGTTTCCCCTGCCACGTATAGGATCACTGACAATTAATAATCGAGGCATTCTGAGTCTAACAAATCGGTCTTTGACACTTCGACTCTAATACTTAGAAAACGAGGGAATTCCAACCGGCATCGACAGAAACCTCATGTACTCTACCACGGAGTTATACTTACTTGATCTCTTAAGGTGCCACGATAATCGCATACGACATCAACCTAATTCCATCCGCGATGAGTACAACGGTAGAGCGCAGATGGCGGCATTAACAGTTATGCGAGCCATTCATCCCCATTTTATTGCTCGCAATCTTTGCTATAGACCTTTTGTTTTTACCCTTATAGACCTCCACCAGAGTAATATACTTGTCGACGACGATTGGCACATCAAATCTCTTATCGACTTAGAGTGGGCGTGCTCGTTGCCAATTGAAATGCTACACCCTCTGTGGTGGTTAACCAGCCGAGGAGTGGATTAACTAGAAAGAGGCGAGCACCTTGAGGCCTACAGTAAGGTGCATGGAGAGTTCTTGAACTCTTTTAAAGCAGAGGAGAGACTGTTTCCTTCCAAAAATAGTAATATCTTGTATCGCACTACCCGTGGCTTTCGCGTAGTGCAAGTTTCTCGTTCCTCGAAATTTGCCCCACTTCCACCTAACTAGTTAGGTGGCCGCCATCTCAGTGCACCGGCCACCTCAACGAATCATGATAATATACATTCACTATTCTACAGCCCTCCTAGGCCCCCTAGGCACTACAATCCCGTGCGCCTTGTTGTATTCACGTACAGCCTTCCGAGCGGCTACATCCTTAGCCAATTGCTGCCTCTTAATCTTGTTAGATGCCCTCTTTTCTAGCCTCTCCAGCTTGTCACGAGCATCACGTAGCTTAGTCAATTCACTATTCTTCACTGCCTCCCTTCCTTCTTGGGCATACAACACCCCCCCGGTCTGAAGTGACATCCGAGAGTCCTTCTTGTTGTCTTCTCTCTTCCTAGCAGCAGCTGTTTGGCGCTCCAAATCACGATGTGCGGCGTCGCTAGCATGTGCAATTGCCATAGATCCGCGCATGTACTTGTAGTAGTATATCTCATGCATCTCATCATCAGATTCGTCTGCCAGACAGTTGGCCATCTCAGCAAGCATCCTAGCATTGCTTGGTGTCAAAATAGGCGGCGTTGTAGGCACTCCTAATGCTGCTGGTGCAGGTGCAGGTGTTGCCGGTCGGTCAGGTGAAGGAAGCCGTATTTGTGAGATAACAATCTCTGGATTAAATGGAATAAGGCCTGATTTCCTCCATGCGCTCATAATTGTGCCGTGCTTGAATGTCATCATTCTAAAGCGGTGAATTGCTTGTAGAAACTCCATCTTGTTGAAATCTATGCACCCGTTTCTATACGCTCGAGCCACTTCCTTGCCATACCAATGCTTATATGGTTGAAACACCACGACATCGAGCGGCTGGCAGATGTGTGTTGTATGAGGAATTGTAGCAAAAAGGATAATGCAATGCTTGTCGCAGTACTCAATAAATTGCGTTATGAAATGGCTTGTATGGCCATCCAATATCAAAAGCCGATTTTTACCAAGCTGACGCTTCCTGGAAAACAATTCAAAGTGCTTTGCCCACCGGAGAAGCAGCTCATCGTTAATGTATGCAGTGTCGCTCACGCCTACTAAGTAGTTGCCTGGTAGTTCCTCCGTGGTGTTGGTGAGCCATCGCTTTTGGATGGTTTTGCCTGCCAAAAGGGTGAGCGGCGGCAGCACCTCTCCATCGCCAGAGATACATTCACCAACCGTGGCTGATTCGCGGTTGGTATCCTTTGCAGCGGTGATTCGAATGCTCTTGGACGTTGTGATAACCTTCTCCTTCTTGCCTATGCCTAGGCGCACGCCTGTCTCATCATAGTTGTACTGGTCTCTTGGTTGTATGCCATACAGGCCCACGGTATTGTTGTAGTCCTCATACCAACGCGACAGCACTTTTGGGTCCTCCGCTGCCTGCCTTTCAAGGTCCTTAGGATTCTCAGTGCGCAGGTTAAATTCCGGGTGCCGCAGGAGGAAGCGGCGTGTCCAATGCTCGCCGCAGAGGGGGGGGTCGCCTGTGCCGGTATGGCGGCCGGCCAAAATTGAATTGCACTCCCACTCCAATTCTGATGTAGTAGCACGCGTTCCTAATTGATCACGTCGTCTTAGCCAGATCAGAAGGCCCTCTTCCTCATAAGGATACAGCAATAGGTTGTGTGGAATACGTTCATTCCGTGGTGGAAGGCCTCGGGCACGATTTGTGACGCGTGAGTATTTGGCGCCATAATGGGCAGCAGCTTTTCGTAGGGAGGGGAATGTATTGTTGTGGAAGGCTGCCAATGCATCCTGCACGGGCATTTCTTCTTGTTTGTAGGTCAAATCCATGATGTTGATGGAGCAATCACGGTGTCAAATAATCTATGTACAACTGACGCGTTGAGGTGGCCGGTGCACTGAGATGGCGGCCACCTAACTACTCGGGTTGCAGCACTACAACCTAGGGTCAGCAACTCATATGCAGTAACGTATCAGGATAGCATGCTGATACAGGAGGAAGTAACAGGTAGTGCAACAGCAGTGCTGCAGCACGGTATCAGTACTGTATCAGGAAACAGGATGAATCAAGTAACGCGTCAGGAAGAGATACCACGTTATGCCCCCCGGGGCTGGCCCCCCTCCTTCCCCTAGTATATAAACAACGAGCTAGACACCCATAGAAAGCAGAGTTCACATCAATTTCAACCTGTGTTAACTAGTTAGGTGGAAGTGGGGCAAATTTCGAGGAACGAGAAACTTGCACTACGCGAAAGCCACGGGTAATATTATGCGAAACGGTTGGAAAATAGGAAACTTCTGGTATTTTCAGTCTCTGGATAACCCCAAAGGGTTATATTGTATTTTCCTCCAGCATATTTAACTAAGGTTCGAAGAGTCTTATGGTACAGGTACATCATTCGATTATACTGTAGCGCCATATTGGGCTGCGGATGCTGCTGAAGTTAGAGCAGCGAAGGTTCAAGATAAGAAAGTGTACGATGGCCAATTGCGAGCAGCATTTTATTAAACAAGTTATTCAATTCCTTGTTATTCCTGCTTTCTTCCTACGTCAATGTACTACCAACCTTTAATAAGAAGAAAGTGTTTCAATCGTAGTAACGAGGCTCTACTGCTCTTGCCCGTTCCCACTCTTCCCGTCTCCCGTACCTTGGCCACTCTTTGTCCCTTGGTCTCCCTCTGTCCCTTGGTCCTTAGCGTTGGCATGTCGTGCCATTGCGTTGGGTCTATTCTCTCGGGCATTCGTTCCCCAAGATAGCAGCTGCTTAGAAGCGTTTGGATCATTGAGTACTGCCTGGAGGATCTCTCTTGCCGCCTGGTCGTCCATATTGGGACGGCGTGACTGTTGGATTTGACGAGATATCTGCAAAGAGTAAGCCCTGTTCGTGACCTCAAGAAGACAAGGCAGAGACTAGCTCTTACTTGGTAGAACTCGAAGTTGGAGAGGAAGCGGAGAAGGACCAGGGCTTGAGCAATGGGAGGAGCTGAAGAGGTTGGAGTTAAAGAAGTAAAGTGAAAGTGAGGTGGAGCCACACTATATATACACTTTTCTGGTGCTCATGCCATCCTCTAGGCTATTCTCTTTAGATATGGATACCTGCATATTCTGCGGCTGTTTCCAGAATCAATCAGGCAACTAGGCGTAGCTGCGAGGCTGATGTGAATTGGGGAATATGCAGGCAGCTGCAGTTGCGTAAGGAGAGATAGGAGACTGACCTTGCTGCAGGAAAACTTGCAGCCGGAGAGGGCTGTGTCTGCAAGAGCCCTGCACCTAAATTTCAAGACCACACAATGCAGCTCTGGCTTCCGCATGCAGCACGACTACTCGAAGCCCCACCAAAATTGACGTATCGCACCAAAACCGCGCAACCAAGCGCGCATAGTCATTGCGCTTGTCGAGGACACACCAGGGATCGAGGATGCATGATAAGCCTCGAAATCCCTGCTCCCGTCGCCATCCAGCTCGTCGCCCTCCATAGGTAAAGCGCCACCAACACCGTCAGCAAGCAGCCCCGATCGAGCACCCCAAGTCGAAGTCGATAACAAAGGCCGCTCTCACCTTTCAATTTGTCAATAAAGGGGCAATCCCTAATCTGCGTCCCCTACGATTGTGTTGTGGTTGATGACTGCGTCGTTGATAGCTGCGTCGTCGAGCACTGATGTCCTAATTGCTGTTGCAAATGATGCACTTCGCTCTGTAATCGAATGACTTGCTCTTGTAACTGGCGGACGGTTTGCTCCAAGTAATTTGAATATTGGGCTTGGGTTCCCTCAAAGCCCCTAATTCGTTCGCCCATCTCTGAAAGTGATGAACCACAAGGCCGACACATTGCCAAGAAAATATGCCGGTTGAGGGGTTGCTATGCCGCTATCCCGAAAATAGAGGGACCTCGAGGTCCCTCCATTTTCGGGATAGCAGCAACCCCGGAACGCCACCCGCACTCCCGTTCACAACCCAGAGCATTATTATGCTTATCGTCGCCGTCTGCCGTAAGCCATAGCTGATCTACAGCTTAGTTCCCTTAGAGCCACAGCGGGAGGATCTAAATGAGCCATAGGGGGATTATATATATTTAGCCTTCACTGCCGCATCTTTACGCCCTGCTTTGATGATGCCCATGTCACTTGGTTGCCTTGTTTGCCTTACCTTCACCCCTGTTCTCACCGCCCTCCCGCTCCGTTTTCAGGATAAATCACCTGCCTCCTCCCACACCTCCCCCTTCTCCTGCACCTATCTGCAAGACGGAACAGGACGGTGCCCAAAGCTCGGACCGCCTCGACGCTTATATTATTCCCCCAGGTATGCCCTTCCGTCAGTATGCCTTTCCTCATCTAACCATTTTCGCAGCTGCTGGTTTCTAGAATCTTTCAAATCGGAAATATTATATCGGTCAAAGTCTTGATGCATAAGTACTTCACGGAAACGCTCCTCGATTCTACATCAACGTACCGTTTCAAAGAACTCAAGTGGCACGAGTTTCAACTTCTTCACCGCGCCGAGAGGACATTTCTGCCCACAATCGTGTTAAAGCTCTCTTCTATCAGTTGCAGCAAGGCGTCCAATTAGAGGACTGTGAAGATCGTAAAACCTTATTCAGCTGCGCGGAAGAACCCGATTGCGCCTTCGATGTCGTGGAATCATTCAATATAGCTTTTGGAACCCCTTACAACTGCAAGCGCCAGGGGACTAAGTTTGCATACATAGTAGAGCTCGTTCGACGTTTAACAACTCATGCGGGAGTACAAAGTCCCCAGCGGCCGAGCGTTTCTTGAGGTTTCGTGTCGTATATAGATTTCTTCTACTCTTACCCGCTTCAAGAGCTTATTTAGATAGTAATATGTGCTCTAGTATTATATATACTCTTTATCCTCCGCGTTCTTGCTGCCGACCATTTGCAGCGACCCTCTAATCATGATAACAATGCTGAATATATTTGAGAGGTGAATGCGTGGAAGAGCACTGACCGGCGTTGCTTCACACCAAGAACTGCTTCAGCTGGCTACGAACCAAACGGAACGGTTAATGTGCCCCTATAAATCGATGGAGCAAGTCACTCTTCTAATATCGGACGTGGGCTAATACATAATTCAACGATGCGCTTTGTTCCGACTTCATACGCTTTAAGCCCGTGCCTGGATCGCGAATTCTCAGTTCGTAGCAGATATAGCTGGCATTAGCTAAATGAGTTCATAGGCACATTTCCGCCTCCAAGTATATGAACCCTAGCTAACATACTGAACAGATTCAAGGACCAAATGTGGCAAAAGGTTGCTTTAGAGATGCAAGTCCCTTAGAAGTCTGCTGAGAGCATGCACTGGCAGCTGGGCGAGCAAGAAATGAGCGCGCCAACGCCGCCGTCTTCCCGCTCCATCCTTCTGCTACTGGTATACCTTCACCTCCTAGCGGCCGTCCCGCAACGCCGCAAACACAAAGCCCAGCACCCTGGCAACATCATCAGCCGCAACCGCATCCGCCTCATCACCAGCACTCCGATACCGGGCCCGCGCCCCGCTCACGCCGTAACAGCTCTTTCAGTCGCTCTAACGGCTCAAGATCACGATCCAGCCTGCCACCACAACTAGGTCCGCAACTACCAACCCTGCAGCCAGTGTGGCAGCTGGTGAAAAGTGATGAGAACTCTTGTGTATTGCTATGTAGGAGGATGGGTATATATAGGCGTAGAGGCGCCAAGCCAGCTAAGCGAAGGAACCCTGTTGAGCTGAAAGGTGACGCATGCAAGCTGAGGAATAGCGCTAAGGATGCGCTAGTACAGTAGCGTATGGACGGCTGCCACAGTGTCCAAAAGTGATGTAGCATGTAGTAGCGCTAGGACGGCGCCGGTACTAGAGGCGAGGCAGAAGAGGGATCGAGAGAGCGTTGGCTTTGTCGAACCGTATCTTAGAAAGAGGAGGGAGATTGAGAGGTCTGGGCCTGCAGATGTGAAGGGTGGGCCAAGAATCCAGGGGACGAGGAGTCCGGAGAGTACGTCGCAGCGCAGTGGGATGGGGAATATGATGAAAGAGGAAGGTAGAGGCTATAAAGGAGTGATGTGATGCGGTGATTGTCTAGGTCGAGGTTGCTTCGGCATAATATCCCCTCATGGTGAGTTACTCAATTTTTCAAGTTGAAATGAAGCACATCCTTTTATCTTTAAAAAAGCATATATGCATACTTTAATCCCGTAATAGCTTGCCACTCTCGCGTCTCCAAGCACTACCATCCCTTTTGATGATACCCCGGGAGATTGTATAAGTTCGCGCCTTCAATTGCATTCTCCGTCATAGCCTGAAGCTTTGTTTCCGGAGTCTGGAGCCTCGCTCGGACGGACCACGTCGCCTTCCGCTCGACGAGCAGGCCCATTTTCAGGGACTCAGTAAGCTCCGTCTGCAACATGCCACGGCGGGCGGTACGCGGAGACGATGCTTGCGGAGGTATATCCATCGGTTTATATCCCTCAAGCCGCATCTCAAGGCCGCTATCTTCTTGGGGGGAGTTGCTAGTAGATAGGCCGTTCGGTGTTTCAGTAGTATTCGATTGCGCATTATCGTGGTGTAATAGTTTGGTAAGTAGAGAAGGGCGTGTGAAATTTGGCGATGTGCTGGCCCTTTCGAACTTCATCTCGCCGGATGGACCGCTCTATCATCTTCCCACTGATCGTCATCGTCCTCAATTGCGCTCGAATCCACTTCACTGCTCCGAATTGCCCCCCTTGTTGTTGAGCATATCATCCTAGGGGTGTCTATTAGCGTTATACTGATACAGCCTTGTTGTTTTCACGTATCACCTGCAAGGATATCTGGGGCCCATCTTGTACTAGGGACGGAGCGGGAGTGCTTCCATTCCCTAGAGGGTTATAAGATAGTGGACGCGAGTACGCGCAATCCATGTTTGGGTTTAAAGGATGCAAATGTCGGCCTGCAAGAAGGCAGTAGGTGAGGACTGCTGTAAGGCAACAAGTTGAAAGGGCCCGCATTCGCTTGATATATAACTAGCTCCCTGCTTGCTGATCTAGCTAGAACCAATATCAAAACAAAGCATGTTCACACAGACCGACTGGTTGACAGGGGAGAATACATTGCCTAATTGGCGTCTGCATGCCCTGGCTAGCTCGGCAGGCCTTGGCATGCCTTTAAAGACCCTTGTAAATGCACCTCCACGATTCTCTTCAATTATTTGTTTTGTGCACGCCACCACGCCGCTATACCTTTTTGCAAATGTCTTAGTTCGGGTTGGCCGCCCGCAAATCTGACTGCTCGGCCAGATGTGCACAAACAAGGTGCACACCCACAAGTGTCGTCCAAGCTCTTTCGTGAACGCGCCATCCCCCGCCGCATATCGATACGAGCGGTTGAGGTCCTCTACTACATCCAGCACGTTCAGCGGTGTCATCTCGGACCGAGCAACCGGGTAGTAATACACGCGCATGGAGGAAGATGAGGGCTATTGTTCAGCGATAGGCCGCGACGCCGCTCCAGCACCCGGTAAGCAGGCTAATCCAAATTGGTTGGAAGACTTCTTCCAATGTCTTGGCAGAACTCTGCAAGGAAATAACAAGCACAGCGCCATATTGCATTCCCTTGTACCCTGCTACATGATACTTGCAGCTCGGATACGTTCCTTCGCTTCCGATGCAACTTGTCATGCCTTTGTTAGATGGAGATTAAGCACCTCCGCCGCCACGTACAGTTCAGGGAATCGGATTGAGATTTTGCTGATAGAGAAGAGACTATTACTTTCCTTACTACATGCGGGCGTCGAGAGAGAGGATGCGGGCGGGACGGATGTGGATGAGGGCGTCATTCTGCACGGCTTGGGGCGGTAGACCTTACGATGACAGAATCAAATAACGGTACGGTGGAGCATACGAGAAGGCGACGTACGTGTGGTGCCGCGGGTCGTGATGTACTGGCAGAGGCAGGCTTGGCAAGTCAGAGCTCTATTCCCCCTTCCAGAACCTCGGACTATGCCCTGCTCGACACTTCAAAATCCTAGCCAAAAGAAACCCTGAACCCGTATTATCAACCGCGTTATCATCATCCTAAGTGGAAAGGCACTATTCTGACAAGTGATGGCATTACTCGCAGCACCTTCGGATCCATCGACCAGCTATTTAAGTCGGCAATCTGGTTTTGGAAAACCGGCGTCAACCTTGCGCATCCAGCCTCCGTGTCCCAGTAATGGCAAGCTTCATTGGGGAAAGGCCAATTGATACAGATGTGCCCGATGAAGGCCCCCGGCCTGAACTCGGTGGGATGGTCATAGAGATACTGTCGGAGTCCTGGCCTACGCGAGTCAGAATGATCCAGCTTGTGGCTTGACCGGAAAGCTTACCAAGGAATAAGATCTATAAGGATGTACGCGACGACCAGGTTGGGACCGTCTGTCCATTGGCGTCTGTAAACCCCTGTATGGAGTCGCCGTCTACCTCTTCCCGGCCAAAGATTTGTAGCTGATCCCACTCATTCGCCAGAGGCACCTGTTTGGGCATGTAAGAGACGGGCAGTATTGATGGCTCGATGTCGCCGTGCAAAAAATAGTGGGAGCCGTTCTGGCTTGAATCTCGACTGTTCCCTTGGTTAGTACCATGAAGCGCGACCCCTTTCCACTAGATTCCTTGTACCTTTGCTCCCGGGACGAGCTGTCGTATAACGATGCAACTAGGTATTGAGATGTTTCCATTTATAAATCGTTGTCTGAGCTTCCTCCATCACTTTGCTGATTTTGAGACGAGTCCTGTGATTAGTCGTGTTCTCTATTCTTGCATGCAGAGAAACCAACCATAAAAATCTTGGACATTGCTTTGGCAGAGTGGCGCGCAAATCCATTCCTTAATACTTCTTATGCAAACTGGAGCGCTGCTGCTCTGTTCGACGCCATGGCTAGTGGAGTGAGTAGGGACTTAACGTCGTGGAGGTCTCTCTCTAGTCTTTTAACATGCTCTCAAAGCTGTGTTATTGTCTTTCCGTCCGCCATATCGTACAAACACCGGAGGTTCTTCGCTTGACAAGTGTTACATCTTGGTCGCACTCCGTCGCACTGCGAGCAGATGTTAGCATTATTCAGCCTGGCAGCAGCACTTTCATACAATTCGTACCTTTGATTTCCGTTTCCTACAGCTTTCACACGCTATCGAGGTTATCTTTCCTCTTGGTGTTCGAAGCGCGTAGGTCCCAGATATCGGAGAGACTAGCTGGGTTGTCTTCGAACTCCCTAATGAGTCTTGCTTTGGCGCCAGGGGTGTCGCCATGAGGTCGGATCAAGGAAGCAGAAGGGTGAGAAGACGATAGAGTCGGCTAGGGAAGGACTGGAGTGCTGCTACAAGGAAATAAGGATGGTGGAAATGGGTAAGTGAAGAAAGCTTGCTATGACGGGGCTTAATTACATGGCCCAGCGGCCGCTTAGCTGGTGATAGGATGTAGGAACTCTTCGGCAGATAAACAAAGGTTAATAATGCAAGGGATTTTGGAGCGGGTCGCGAATCTGCAGGAGTGTGATGAGGGCTTGTATATAGGTCGGCAGGAAGGGGTCTACGCCACCTTACACTTTGGGACCGGGGGCCGTTCCCTGCTTATACGAGGGCTGCGGAGATCTAATCCGGGTACATCATGGCAAACTCTATTCCGCTCCATAGCTGCACGCTAGAACGCCACTGCCTTCAAGATGCCCGTGGGGCAGAATGCCACCCGGAAGCAAGACTCGAAGCCACATCGCGCCTTATTGTCGTATCTTGGTTCAGATGGCTATCTGAATAACAGCTTGCAGCAGGGCATACCACGGGGACCACATCGTTGTTGTTCAGATGGCCATGGCCTATCAGTCCCTCCCGTTCAACTTTATCGCTAGCAGACCCACATTCTCAGGCGTTGCGTTCTAGCATAATGGCAAATACGGGAAGAGGGGCTACGGAAGGGCAGCCTTGATTGCTAACATATGCCACGCTCAATTGGAGGCCACTAGACTCCATTAATCGTAGCTCGAGCGCCGTTAAAGCCCATCGCAAGAGTATGGTCGCTTGCATCTCTCCGTCATTCTTGGACTGTTGCCTATAAAGGCAAACGTGTATACATAATTTACAGGATTACACACTTTATGTTCTTCTCACTCCCCTTTCCCCGTGAACCGCGTTGGTTTTGAGGGTATCTGCCTGCGCCACAATTACCATCTCTTCGAGTGTCCCTGTCCCATTTGTCTGCCTGCCACAACTTATGGCCCTAGCCAAAAGGCTGTGGGCGTTGTCGCCTCAGCTGCCGGACGACATCGTAGAATACCTTCTCAACATTCACGCACTTCTTGGCGGAAGCCTCTACAAAGTCGCATACCAGCTCGCGAGCGAGTGCGCTGCCTTCCTGCGTCGAGACTTCGCGTTCTGTCACCCTGTCGCACTTGTTACCCACTAGCATGACTGGTGCGGAGCCGAAAGCAGAGCCATTTGAGGATGCGCTCAGCGGCGAGCCGGGGTATGTTGGTGATCCAGATATCGATAACTCCTTAACCCGCTGAATTTGGTGGTGGAAATTTTGGATTCGTGCAAAGGACGACCGAGACGAGATGCTATAGACCAGCACAAAGCCCTCGCCGTCCCGTATCCACTGGTCTCTCAGCGCAATGTATTCTTCTTGGCCTGCGGTGTCAAGCACTTCCAGCATGCATAACTGGGAATCAATCTGCACTTACTTGCGGTACAAGTCCTCGATGGTTAGGTCGTATGTTTCGACGAAGTGGTTTAGGCATAGCTGGAAATACAGTCAGCGGTTGGCATTTGGCAGGCGTGGAGGGGACCCACCTGGATGGTCAAAGCTGTCTTCCCGACGCCACCGTCCCCGAGCGCCACGAGCTTGTACAAAGTCATTTTCCCCGCCATGATAGAGAGGTTGTGGGAAAGATGCGAACCGGAGGTTTGGGATGGGCGATCGGAGTCGCTGTGACTGAAGGCAAACGCGCATCCTCAGCCTTGCCGGGCGTAACTAGCTCTATATGTCACCAAGTCGGTCTTCTCCGTGCCAGTGCACGCCTGTAATGACCATGAACCGCGCCTTTATGCATATGCATGCGATGTGCTCATGACCCTCTCCGCCGTCGGAGCTTCGGAGAGGTCTGCGAGTGAATTAGAGTGCCCTCGTAGCAGTGAATACCTCCCGCCTCCTAGCCCTTTACGCAAATTGTTGCGGACATCAACACCAGCGCCTTCATCGTGAACGATTTCGTGATGGTGGTACTCTGCCACATTCTTTACGCCCGCATCTGTCATCTTCTTGAGCAGAGGCCCCTCTTCCGGCCTTCATACTCCCACAGGTATATGGATGGCTGACCGTCCGTCGACGAGCTCGCCGACAGTATGCATGCCTAGCTCGCCGACAGTCTGCATGCCTAGCTCGCCGACAGTATGCATGCCTAGCTCGCCGACAGTCTGCATGCCTAGCTCGCCGACAGTCTGCATGCCTAGCTCGCCGACAGTCTGCATGCCTAGCTCGCCGACAGTCTGCATGCCTAGCTCGCCGACAGTCTGCATGCCTAGCTTGCCGACAGTCTGCATGCCTAGCTTGCCGACAGTCTGCATGCCTAGCTTGCCGACAGTCTGCATGCCTAGCTGGCCGACAGTCTGCAGGCGTCGGCAAGCCTTGGCATGGCTTGCAGTCAAGCTAACGATCCTTGTAAATCACCTATGCACCTCCACGATTCTCTTCAAGCAGTAATTTTGTGCTGTTCCCTTTTTGCGAACCACCACTCGTTTGCGAAAGAGGGATAGAGTCTTATCGTCTCAGGCAGGCCGCCAATCAGGCCATGGATTCTTCCCCGCCAAAATGGCTCAATCGGTTACGTGAACTCATGCTTCGTTTTGATACTGATTTCAATTGGAATCTCAGCTTGTTTGGGAGCCCTGCGTTATATCAAGCATATGCGGGCTCCTTCAGCTCGTTGACTTACTATTATCGGCCCTCGCCTTTTGCCTTCCTGCAGTTCGACATTTGCGTCCTCAAACCCAATCATGGATCGCGCGTATTCGCATCCACCTCATGGCATTCTAGGGAATCAACTCTTGGGTCATAGCGAGGTAAAGTCGAATCCGCCACTCGAGAAAGACGGACCCAACCGTCGCAGGTAGTATGTGAAAATAACAAGGTTGTATACGTATAATGCTAATAAACATTCTAAGATAATACGTTACGGTTCAACAACGAGGTCATTTGGAGCCAATGTAAAGAGGATTCCGATGGGAAGTGCAATTGAGGATGAGTGGGAAGATGAAGGCAGCAATGTGCCACCTGGCGTAATGACGTTGGAAAGGTGCAACACGTCGCCAATGTTCACACGCCCTTCTCTACTTACCAAACTATTTCACGACCACGGCGCGCAACTAATGCAGAACCCGTCCTTACAGTCAACTCCTAAACCACCAAATGGCCCGTTCACTAGCCACTTCCCCCAGGAAGATAGCAGCCTCGTGCGACCTCATGTTTTCCGACCGATGGCTACCTCAACTGTACACTCGCGTGCAACATCTCCACACACTACTCGCCGTAACATGTTAGAGACGGAGTTACCCGAGACGCTGCGTTGGAATCTGCTCCGGGAGCGGGAAGAGAAAAAAGCTACAATCAACGTTGTGAAGAAGCGACTCCAGACTGCAGAACTAGCGGTACCGAGGACGAGAAATGAAATCGAAGGCGATCTCCAGGATTATTATCAGAAGGGATGGTAGTAATCAGAGCTAGCAGAGTGGAAAGCAAGACAAATGGAAGGAAGAAGCAGCTCGATGAAGTGTCGAAGAGACTGAGACTTACTTGATGAAAGTTGAGTGTAGAAGAGAGAGTGTATAGGCGTAGGGCAGGGCCTCTATATACCCCAACTTGCCAACGAATTGCTCCGGATTACTTTGCTGGATCACCACGCCAGCCCCGGATCACCACGCAGTCTCGACGACACGTCGGATCACAGGTTCGCTGCCAGATCACAAGGAGAGCCTCATCAGATCACTGTCGCAATGCCTATTGGCTATGGCGACGTCAATTGCTTATCGGCACGAGCAGGACAACGCTCGTGTAACCTTGTGACCTCCTATCACGACCCTTCTCTTTCCCTCCTCTTCCGATTCCTTCTTGGAAACGTGCTCGCACGCTCGCGAAGTCCTTGTCAGCTAATGGAAACCTCCCTCAGCTATCACGACCTCCTCTCGATGCATCACCGCCTCGTCGCCGCCCTCCGAATGCCTATCTCACGGCCTCACATGCCCGAGGAAGCCTCAGCTTGTGATGCCGATGGCAGCAGTATGACTGTGCCGAAGATAAGATGCCCGACAACGTGTAGGCAGGGCGATTTGAAGGCAAATAGGGTTTGGAAGGGGAGGAGGCGTTCCTACTATAGATCTAGTTCAATTGGAGGCCGCATGGGCCTCACCTACGTGTATATAGCCTAGCCAGATTCCTACATAGAATCGATATCTATTGTCCTCCGAATTGTTTATCACGTGACCAGAATTGATTGGCGGGCACGTGACGGGCTCGAAAACTTGCCGAGCCACCCATCCCCGCAATTTCTATCGTGAGAATTTTGATCTCCGTGCCACGCTATCGCTACTATCTACTAAATCACTCCTCATCTTATTCTCGCAATTCCGACATGGCGGATCTCTATCTGTTTCTCGAGCTAGTGGAGCTCCTAAAAAATACGGAGCGCCGTGGCTGGGTCATCCGCGGCGTTCCAAACCCTGAGAGTGTCTGCGACCACATGTACCACATGGCACTTATGTGCCGAGCAGTTCCTGGAGTTAGTTACGGCATGCCGCTAACTTTTCCTACTAACATTTAATAGTTCGATGAAGAGACGCGGACGAAAGCGGAATATATGGCGTTGGTTCACGACATGGGAGAAGCATTAGTTGGGGATATCGCTCCTTCCGATGGAATCAGTGCAGGTATGTAACCCTTGTCCCCTTAACGGATTCTATCTGATATTTAAAAGAGGAGAAATACACTCGAGAAGAAATGGCCCTTAAGTTCCTCGCGTGCACCATCACTCAGGTTGCAGCACTACAACCTAGGATCAACAACTTATATGCCAGAAAGCTACTCTCCGAACATCAGCTGTAGAGAACCCAGCTGAAATCTCAGCTGTGGAGAACCGAGCTGAAGCCTCAGCTGTGCAGGGCTCATCTGAACTTACTAGCGCGCCACCCTGGGGGTGGCCCCCTTCCTTCCCCTAGTATATATACAACTAGCTAGACGTCTATAGAAATCAGAGTTCACATCAATTTAACCTGAGTCTATCCGTGGTACGAATTCAGACTTCGCCGACATGATATTGAAGCTGTGGTATGAATACAATGAAGGGAAGACCCGAGCTGCCTTACTGGTGAAGCAAGTCGACAAGCTGGAATGTATGCAACAAGCTGTAGTATACATGGAACGGACTGGTCACAACATGGATAATTTCATGCAGTTGAAGGAGAAGATTACTCTAACGGAACTTATTCCTCTGCGTAACACCTGCTTACAGAAGTATGAAGAGTTGAAAGCAAGATAACAAGCAGATATTAATGTCGTGTTTGTTATCGGTACATCCCATCAATCATTTCCCTAATCTAGCTAATGCATCCTTAGGAGGGCCTGGCGTCGGGAAGGGAACACAGTGCGCCCTACTTGCCAAGGAGTTCAATTTCTATTACATATCAGTGGGTGATTTGTTGCGAGAGGAAGCAAGGAGCTCGACGTCTCCTTTTCGGGACTTTATCCCGGAAAGTATACAGAAATTAGTTTTGCTCCCAGCTTAACTAACCACGCAGCTCTTGAAAAAGGAAATGGACAAAGCGCAAATGGAAGGAAAAAGCAGATTTCTGTTAGACGGATTTCCAAGAAATATAGAGCAGGCGGCGGACTTTAAGCTAAAGGTACTCGCTTAATTACTCTTCTATTAAACTTCGACTAACTTATAGCTTAGATCTGCAATTGTTTCTTTATACTCTCCTTGGACTGCTTGGAAATAGATATAAAAGAACGTCTTAGACACCGATCCGACTTATTAGATAGAATAGATAACAATCCTAAATCTATTATACGGAGACTTGCGACCTTTAAGGAAAACAACGCGCCGATCCTACAATACTTGCAATTATATAGACCAGTATCTCCTGTAAGTAGGCACTCTCGGCAGTGGAATATTACTAATTACTTATAGATTAACTGTCGCGGCTTAATTAAAAATGTTTATAACTCTATCCGCACAATTATTTAAGATAATCTCCAGATGCCAAAATAAGTATAATATAGCTGCTTTTTAGCAGCCGAAGTCTTGCTCTTTCGCTTACCTTTCGAATTTCTCGTTGTTTAGGTCGAACGCTAGAGAGCATAGAGAAAAATCCACACTTTTTTTGTTCATCTAATTATATTAAGTATAAGCCGGTTTAAACTAAAGTAATTCTAAGCTCTCTTTAGTGCCTTTAAACTCCCGGGGAACTTCTCTAGAGAAATATAGATAAGATAGAAGAATATTGCTAATATACACGCTGTTACTAATAAGGGTAGCCGCCTTATCGGGGTGTCGCCATTTATAGCGCTGAATTCTGTAAGTTGTGGAATAAGAATGGACTAGCGCGCAGACTTACTTTATTTAGGTGTAGAACCCAATACTGCAATCTCCAAATATCCCTTTCTTTTATATATAACAAGATAAGAACTACTGTAAATACTATAATCCAAGCTGTCTTTTAGGTTTTTTGCATAGCCTTTTAAAGGTTTCTTAGATATAACACCTCTAGGTTAGCAATAAATCGTTCCAGCTTCCGGTCTAGCTGGTATTGCAGTGCTAGAGGAGCAGGAACCGTGTTAAAGAGTGACGAGCGATGGTCTAGAACTCTGGACATTCCAAGCATCTTAACCTTACTTACCTCCTAGCCCTTTATAAGCAGACAATGCGCAGCCTATAATCTTAACATATCCCATATTAAACCATCCTAGAAAATGTTAGCGTTTTAAAGACACCGTAAGAAATAATAATCACCTCCAAATACTTCTTTACTTCTGTGAAGATCTAATTAACCTATAAATTACTATTTCCCACTTATTGCAGATAGAAGCGTGTATGTTCGTTAATATATATGTCCAAAGAACCTGGCGTCCGTAAAGCAAAGGGAGTAGACTGCATGTGCTCCTAACTCCGATCTTTTTTATAGTACAGACGGGTTTAATCAGGGGAGTTGGCTTTAAATTCACAGCACGTTGCTTAAAGAACGGGTCCCTGCTAATCATGCCGAAGAAGAACAGGCCTTGGGGTGGATGTAAACGTGAGCTGCTCCCAAGCAAGCTTCTGCTCATATTCGGTGTTTTTCCCTTATTAACTTAGCTTAAAAGATAACCGTGGGAAAGATGACTTACATTTAGCAAAAACCGGCTGGTTAGCATATCGAACACGAATGCAAACCTGAAATGGAATGTTGGACCTCGCGCAGGACTGGCATATTCTATTTTCGCTATATTTGCACTGGAGCTGTTAGTATCAGCGGGTTGATCGATGCATAAAAGCTTATACCGCTTTTTTCAATTTCCAGCAGCGGATGCAGGCCTTCGGTTCCCTTTGGGTTAAAGGGGGAGTGACATAAGCTGTTTGTATAGGCGCAGGTATCAGATGGGGCGCAGCATTACTCGGGCTGGGGTTCGCACTTCCATCAAAGAGTATCGTGTTCTGGAAGAGAGGACCGTTCCCAAAGACGTCGAAGCCCTGATCCAGGACGGCGTTATTGACTGTGTTACCCGAGTTCGACGCCGTAGAAAGACCTTCAATATGGTTGTTGACCTGAAAAGGCCAATTGAATAGGTCGATCTGGGGGTTCTGTAGGCTGTTCCACGGATCGGATACAAAGTTCTCCGTGAAGGTTTCGCCATTATTCGTTGGCCATAAAACGGACAGAAGTTCTGTGTACGCTCTATCGCTAATAGCATGACGTCGTTGCTAAGTTCGTAGTGTTCGTAGTGTTTCCTCCATTCCCGCAGTTGCTAGCTGTTGTAGCAACGTTGCTCTTCGAATCGCGGCAAGGAAACCCCGCCTTATGGAAATATGATAATCCATTCCGAAAAAGTCAGGTGACTCGGTTATTCCTCTGGAATCTCTGTGTAGACGTGGCCTCGATGATAAGAATAGACTCGGCCCAAGTGCCTACACAAAGCAGGTGGTCCGCCGTCTTGTCGGGTTCAATCGATATTGACGTACTCCGATCGGTTGATAGTGGGCTGAGGAAAAGAATATGCCAATCTTGTTGCCTTGCCAAGGGTTCAAAATTGGACCTATGATCTAGTGTCCATTCAGCTTAGCGCAGGTAGTTACGTAACCAACTGCGAGCTTCACGACCTCCAGCTTTGAAGCTCCAAGCGTACTACAGCCCTGCCCCAATCCCCAGCGCCGAGTTTAAAAGCAATATATTGCTTTGCTCTCACTTGCGCGAGACGATGGAATCATCTCTCCCTAGGTAATCCCGTGTGTCCCTTCAATTTATATGGGTACTAATGCGACTCAGCGCGCAGCTCTACTTCAATCCCCATTTCCCCACCATCGAAGCATTCCGCGACTCCCTTCGCTCAATGGTCTCGTGGACATGCGCAGTGGACGCTTTGTAAATAATGCACTGCTCATCCAGGTTCTGGTCCAGACGGAACTGAGCCTGAAGGTTGGATCAGAGAAGGGCTCTCTGCAGCATGGGATACGACGGCGTAATCTGGCAGAGTTGATGCTTAGGTTCCGCCGCTATAATCTTTCCTTCAAGTGCGAATCTAAGGAGCATTGGGCAAAATAAATGCGACTCATTTAATGATTGTCCTTAGTCTCGTTCTTGTACACTCTTGAGATTATGCGCACCTTCACGTCCTCATCCTGGCTAATCTATGCTCTGGACCTCACCACGAGCGCCCAAGTCAAAGCCTTTACCAACACTAGAAGGACGTGAAAGTCAGGAGAGTAAGTCGCTCAAAGCATCGATTGCCTGTACCTTTAGGAACGCTCTGCCTCTTGGACAGCGTTTGTCTCACGAGACCACTCCGAGGACCTGTAACGTACGCTTTGTTGAGGAGATTTCGAGGTGAAAAGAGTCAAGACCGGCTCCCCTATTACCCCTACAGCAGCTCCTGCTTACAAACGACAGCGCATCTTCATACTTGCAATCATTCGATCCGCCCTGGGTTGATGTTGAAAAATAGTTTCTGTTATGAGTTTCGTACAGACTCCATCCTGCCTTGGAAATGGTATTCCAGTAATTAGTGCGGCGGTATTCATCAAGGAGGTTATGTAATTGCGAGATAACGATACTAATCACTTTAATGGTCCCCCGTACCAACGCTACAAGCCTTCCCAACCGTCCGCCCACCCCAACCAACTTCCTCCCCGACCCACGCCACCGCTCGGGTACCAACAACGTCAATCAGGTTATTGTCCTCCCGCTCTCACGATCCTCCCGTTCGCACAATCCATTCTTTCGCACGATTCTCTCGTACACACGATCCTCCCGCTCTCACGATCCTCCCGCTCTCACGATCCTCCCGCTCTCACAATTCTCCCGCTCTCACGAACCTCCCGTTCGCACAATTCTCCCGTTCACACGGTTAGTCAGCCATAGCTGCTTCGATAATGCTGTCATCTAAACAATTGAATTTCTCCAAATCGGCCCTTTCCAATACGACATCAGCACACACGTAGCCCTGGTGTTCGTGCCATTCATTCCTCCGACGAAGAAAGGGAAGAATCTTCTTAGTCGCTGAAGAGAGCAGTAAGATCCAGACCGCTATTTCGTCGTCTTGAAGTGTATAGGTGAAAATGTCCTGTGATGCTCCCCAGATAATAATATCGTCGGCTTGGACGATGTGACATTTGAGCCTCTCAATGTAACGGTCCATGGCGAGTATATTTAGCGGAGGATCATACGCGGGTGGTCGGTGGACGGGGAAATGCATCGTGGATCGTAACGTAATATGGGCTTGCTGTTGGAGTCAGGTAGTTGATTGTAAGTACGCATCCGGCGACTCACCTTGAATTTCCGGGTTGTTTGGACTGATAAAGGCGTATACCATGTCTGGTCTTGAGCTGTTGCCTTTATATAATGTGCCTGCTGTCGCGTGGCATAAGCTATGCTAACCTGAAAAGCGTTTCGACATGGTGAGTGCAGTATACTCCCCATTTAGAATGAACTAACATCTCGAATCATCCATCAGCGAGAATAGGAGGTAGGATCTAGTGTTGAAAAGCCATCCTCGTCGCAATTTGGAGTAGCCTACCCTTTCCCTCACCGATGTAGGTTCGAGAAGCTGAGTCGGTAGTGTGCATGGATCGGGTGCCTATCTGTGGTTCAAGAGGCGTGTTGACGTTATACCAGTCCAGCCTCCTAAGCTTGCGACCGTCGTGCCTCCATCGTTGCATTCCCTTCCTTAAATTTTGCTCCTGACAACTTAGCACAATGTGTGATTATACTCAAGTTCACTACAAATGCTCCCACCTCCGCTACACCGTACGCGCTTGGTGCACGAAGTATCAAGAGACGCACAAACGCTGTCCAGCCAATGTCGTTGCAATGAGGGTCTTCGAGATGCAGCAAAGGTACGCCGATGGTCAAGTTAGCGACTATGCTCAGGCATTGTGCATCACGAGCGAGGAGTTGAACAAGCTAACGGGTTCCTTTCCCTTCACATAGCAGGCTTAGCCAGAGGACAACGCGCCGACGGTAAAGGGAGGTAGATGAATTTTTTTCCTAAGTCCAAGGACACTCCTCGTCTGAATCTCATCCGCCAAGTTTAGAAGCCTCCCGACCTCACCCATCCTCCCGTGACCGCCACGTAGTGAAATACCGTAAGACCCCAAAGCCCCGACGCAATTGCGCGTACGATGCTACGAAGGCAAAGTTAAGTGCGACCATGATAATAATATCTCATGCAGCGAATACGCAGCCACAACTGCCAGCCAAAGGAACGATGAGAGAAACCAGAAGAATAGCCGGTGCCTAATATCCACTGACCAACGTTTAGTCAAAGCCCGGCATGCCACTCCCTCTCCAAATATCAGAGATTTTAAATATCCGGCTCTTAAAACCGTACCCAACTGGAACAGAGAAAGTAGGTACCAAAAAATTACGGGTCGGTGAAGATCGGGCGAACGCGACCTTAATACGCACGAATAAAACCGCGAGAGTCTTGGGGAGAAAAATGAGTTTCTTTTGGCGGAATAGAAATCCATTGGAACCAACTGGGCTCGATCGTCGTTTGCCACTGATAACCCACTGGCGTTTGGACCTGCTGTTCTAGAACGGCGGTTGCTTGCTGGTTCCCTCCAAAATGCCATATATCCATATTTTCAATTAGTAGCGTTGTGATCGTCTCCGTCTCGTGCCCTTCAGCAATTAGATTAGAAAACATATAAGGTGCCAGGCTCGTAAGGGTTACTGTTGGCACAAATATTAATTAAATTTTCTCTATTCTCTGCTGGAGCCGCGCGACAGTAGCAGCAAGTTGTCTCCAAACTTAAGCACCCGCTTCGAACGGCTTGTTGAATCCACCTCGATGATGCTGCGTACGTAGGTGCGGTGCAGCGGCCCAACTCCCGAATATACTAGGGCCATAACAGCCCTATAGGGAGAATCATGTGTTCACGCCTGCTGAGCAAAGAACCAGACGAGCTGATTATCTCGGTTTAGCCGCGCGCAGCCGTCGGCTGCCCCTTCTGGTGGTGGTAGTGGTAGTAATAATGCGAGTCTTGGCGGGCCGTTCCTCCTCCTTCTCTTCCTCGTCCGTGTTAGAAACGCGCCGCCGTAGTCTTCGTCGGTGCAGTCAGACGGGGTAACGGCTTCCATGAGTGTTTGCAGCCTCTCCAGCTCAACCTTGCGTTTCTTAACCAGCTCGGGCGGGGTGCGGCCTATTGGCCATTCGGCAGCAGCTTCCGCGCCGTACTTCACCTTTCTAACTGCCTGGGCTGTAGAAAGCAGCGCATTTAGCTTTAAAGTGAGTTCGGCAGCAAATGCAACGTTGTCTCTTCTCTTATAGATTGGGGTGGACGGCAGAGAACAGAGGCGGGTGCCGTGCGTGGCAACAATATCGAGGAGATTCTGCGGTTTACACTTATATTAATGGCCTGCGATGCAACTAGAGCGAGTCGCTAAGTAAAAGGTGCAGACTTACAACTCTTATTTTTCTATTTTTGCAGCGGTTGCTAGCGTCAGGCGCGGTGTGCAGCCATGGTTATAGTTATAGTTATAGTTATAGCCTTAAGCGGCCTCCTCTATAAACGACACGGAAGTTGGGGCGAGGCGCCTTTAAATTGAAAACAGGTCTACAGTCAGCACGGTGCGTAGTAGGGCAAGCGCTCGCACGTGATTTCATCCATGCGGCGAAGCGCCAGGTTAGGATTTAAGCGAGTAGGGGAAATTAATTTTCTACGGACTCGAGATGTCTACGGATCAGTGTATGTATATTATTAGTTGTAGCTTCTTTTTCTAGCCACTATATGCCAGCAAGCCAGACTTATCCTTACACCGGCCTATTATTATTACTATTAGTAAGTTTTCTATTAGTCGCCTAGTATCCAGCACGTATATATATAATATATAACCAGATCTAACAGGTGGAGTTAACTATCTAGCACGCCAGGAACATTGCCAGGGTGCTAGTGCGGATAAGGATGTGGATAGTAGCTCTATTAGATATATTTAGCAGGTTTAGAGACTTTGTTAAGGTTCCCTCTAGTATTAAGGGATAAGAAAACTAAAGGATAATAGAAAAGGTGCTGCAACTGCCACTAGTTAGAAATAGGCGGCTAGTTTAAGATAGAGTGCATGTTCCTAGCAGTTAATATTAATAAAGGATATAGTTAGCTAAGCATTTAAGTTAGCCGCGTTTGCAGCACGGCGTTCTTATTCTCCAGCTCCTTAATTCTCTGCGTAAGCTTAGTAAGCGCGCCCTGGGTTAATAAAAGCTCTGTAATCCGGCGCTCTAGGAACTTAATATAGTTACTAGATTCCTTATACCTTTACTCCTAGGACAAGCTATTATATAATAATATAACTAGGTTTTAGGATATTTCTATTTATAAATTGTTATCTAAGCTTCCTCTATTGCTTTGCTAATTTTAAGACAAGTTCTAGATAGTAATTAGTTGTATTCTCTTTTCTTATATATAGAAAAACCAACTATAGAAGTCTTAGATATTGCTTTAGCAGAGTAGCGCGCAAATCTATTCCTTAACACTTTTTATACAAGCTAGAGCGCTGCTGCTTTATTTAATGCTATAGCTAGTGGAATAAGTAGGGACTTAATATTATAGAGGTTTCTTTCTAGTCTTCTAGTATACCTTTAAAGCTATATTATTGTTTTTCCGTCCGCTATATTATATAAACACGGGAGCATCTTTGCTTAATAAGTATTATATCTTAGTTATACTCTATTGCACTGCAAGCAGATATTAGTATTATTTAGCCTGGCAGCAGCACTTTTATATAATTTATACCTTTAATTTCTATTTCCTATAGCTTTTACACGCTATTAAGGTTATCTTTCCTTTTAGTATTTAAAGCGCGTAGGTTCTAGATATTAGAGAGACTAGCTAGGTTATTTTTAAACTTTCTAATAAGCCGACTATACCTTGCTTTAGCGCCAGGGATAATACTATAAGGTTAGATTAAGGAAGTAGAAAGGTAAGAAAATAATAGAGTCTAGAAGGACTAAAGTGCTGCTATAAGGAAATAAGGATAGTAGAAATAGGTAAGTAAAGAAAGCTTGCTATAACAGAGCTTAATTATATAGCCCAGCGGCCGCTTAGCTAGTAATAGGATGTAGGAACTCTTCGGCAGATAAATAAAGGTTAATAATATAAGGGATTTTAGAGCGGGTTGCAAATCTATAGAAGTATAATAAGGGCCTTTTTATATATAGGTTAGCAGTAAGGGGTCTACGCTACCTTATACTTTAGAACTAGGGGCTATTCCCTGCTAATATAAGGGCTGCGGAGATCTAATCCGGGTATATTATAGCAAACTCTATTCCGCTCTATAGCTATATACTAGAATACTACTGCCTTTAAAATACCTGTAGTAGAATACCGCCCGGAAGTAAGACTTAAAGCTATATTGCGCCTTATTATTATATCCCGGTTTAGATAGCTATCTAAATAACAGCTTATAGCAGGGTATACCACGGGGACTATATTATTATTGTTTAGATAGCTATAGCCTATTAGTTCCTCCTATTTAACTTTATCGCTAGCAGACCTATATTTTTAGGTGTTGCGTTCTAGTATAATAGCAAATACGGGAAGAAGGCTACGGAAGGGCAGCCTTAATTACTAATATCTACCACGCTTAATTAAAGGCCACTAGACTCTATTAATTATAGGCGCTGTTAAAGCCTATTATAAGAGTATAGTTACTTATATCTCTCTGTTATTTTTAGATAGTTATATATAGAGGCAAACGTGCATATATAATTTACAGGATTATACACTTTATATTATTCTTACTTCTATACTTTCCCTGTGAATCGCGTTGGTTTTAATAATACCTTGCGCTATAATTACCGTAACTATCTCCTTAAGCTTTCCTCTTATAGCCCTGGCTATAAGACTGTTATTATTGCCGCCTTAGCTGCCGGACAATATTATAGAAGGCCTTCTTAATATTTATATAGTTCTTAGCGGAAGCCTCTATAAAGTTATATTCCAGCTCGCAAGTAAGTACCCTGCCTTCCTGTATTAAAACTTCGCGTTCTATTACCCTATTACACTTATTACCTACTAATATAACTAGCGCCGGGCTAAAAGCAGACCCGTTTAATAATGCGCTTAGTGGCGAGCCGGGGTATATTAGTAATCCGGATAGCGATAATTCTTTAACCCGCTGAATTTAGCGGTAAAATTCTTAGATGCGTGTAAAGAACAACCGAGACGAGATGCTATAGACCAGCACAAAGCCCTCGCCGCCCCGTATCCACTGGTCTCTTAGCGCGATATATTCTTCTTAGCCTGCAGTATTAAGCACTTCCAGCGTGCATAACTAGGAATTAATCTGCACTTGCTTGCGGTATAAGTTCTTAATAGTCGGGTTGTATATTTTGATAAAGTAGTGCAGGAATAGCTAGAAATACAGTTAGCGATTAATATTTAACACAATATAGAAGGGGCCCACCTGGATAGTTAAAGCTGTCTTCCCGACGCCACCGTCCCTGAACACTATAAGCTTGTACAAAGGTTTTTTCCCCGCTATAATAGAGAGGTGTTTATCCAGAAACTGCTAAGCCACTTTTAAGTTATAGAAAAAATACGAACCAGAGGTTTAGGAAGGGGTAGAATAGAAGGAGATTAGTTGGACAGTCTGGCGGTTCGACTAATGCCTAAGAACTTAGGGCGCAGGAAGACGCAAAAAAAAGTGCAGGAAGGCAACTGGTGAGGATGGAATAAGAGCCGGTAAGGTAATAAGGAAGGACCTATTAGCCGCGTCGGGCGTAACTGCTTAATATAATATCCTCTCCCTCGTGCTAATCTAGACCCTAAGTTAGTTTCCGGTACGATAGAAAAAGGATAAGCAGGGTTCTTTGGCCGCGAAAAGCAATTATCGTATTTCTATAAGATAGGCCACTTTATAGCGCCGGCCATAACGACGGAGCACTAAGCTTTGCCTTATTTTATAAGGAGGCATTATTCAACTTCCTAACACGGTAATATTCCTGTACTCTTCTAAATAACTACCGCTTGTCTCTGCAACCGATATAATACCGCAGGCAATAGTAGCGGAGAGATAGTGTAGGAGTAGTAAAGGAGGATAAGGTGCGCGCCTCGCGCTGAAGCTAAGCACGGGCCCGCCCGCTAGCCTAAAACAGCATATTTGGCGCACTACAGCTTTAGAAGTATTCTTCTGCAAGTAATTAGACTTAAGCGGGATAAATAAACGGCTACAAGTTAAATTGCTAGTTACTATCGAGTTACTATCGAGTTACCGTGTGGGCCGCCCACTAAAATAACTCCAGGGCTTTGCCGACACTATCGATTAACTCGTTTACGACTGGAATCGACGCCTCCTTTATCTAACCGCTACTCAAGCCCAGAACACAAGGAAATATAAGCTAGGCAGTGCCTCGAAAGGCCCACCCCAGTGCCTTAAAGGCCTACCCCCCAATTCCGGATTATATATAACTGCGAACCGTTGCGAACTAGGTGGTGCGTGATTGCCAGCCGAGTGTAAGCATTCGTATAAGTTGTTGGGGAGATTGTTATAGGATGTTGTATTATAAAATCCTCTGCTTATTTTAAACCTAGAACAGGTATTAGGACAGCGGGAATATAGGCCGAGATTATTAGGAGATTCGACTTTACTCTATACCTGTAACTTGTCTTAGCCTTTAGAAACCGGCAATAAAGCCTCTACTTACTGTCCGGCTATTAGGCCCTATAAGGGCTGTTGTTAATATAGTTATAGCTAGAGGTTTCGATAATTTAACTTTGCTTAATAATTTAACTTTGCTTAATATCTGTAACTCGTCTTAGCCTTTAGAAACCGGTAATAAAGCCTCTACTTACCGTCCGGCTATTAGGCCCTATAAGGGCTGTCGTCGACGTAGTTACGTCTGTTTTATATAAAGGAAGTTTTAATACAAGGCCGCAGTAATTTGGCATAATATATTGTATAAGTTGTCTAATATTAGGGACCTAACAGAGGGGCATAAATGCAAAGAAGAAAAGAGAAGCCTGCAAGTGTTAGTGAGAAAACGGATGCTGGAAAAACTTAACATACTTATTCCACAATATAAGTGCCGAGACGATTTTTGTCGCAAAATACAACAGCACTAACGAGAAACGCAATTTCGGGAAGAACTATTAATGCTAAGATAATTACGTTTATATGCAGAAATAAGGGTGGTATTACCATGCTTTTGTAAACACAGGCTATTTTAACGGTAAGACTAAGGGTTATAAGGGCCCACGTCGACGCGGTAATACATCTTAGAATCCATTCTAAATAAGGGAACAGCCTACAGAAGAATTATCATCTCGTCCGTTTCCAGGTACAGCTAAACACTTACCATCCAAATATAACGGTTAGAATCACTCCAACCAGCCCTATGGCCGGTAAAACCAGCCGTACAATCTTCGTACTAATGCGGTAACTTAACCCAGAAATAACTTGCATTTGACAAACATACTAACAGGCAGATAAGCATACAATACTGTTTAGTCGAAGAACGGAAAACTCACATCGAACAGCAATATAATCTGCTGCGCCCCGATATTGGCCCATGTGCCAGAGCTACAGTCCTTGCTATGGATGAAAGACACAAAGCCGACGAGGACGAAGATGGTGTACACTAATAAGATGATGACAGATATTGCATGACTTAATCTGCTGCGTTCCGTCCTTTTGCGTACTGCAGCGGTTAAATGACCAACAGTAGAAGTAACGCAGCAGAGGATGATAACACCCCAGCCAACACGCAAGCAGTCAATAACAGAAGTCATTGCGTGCGTGGCGTATGCAGAAGAAAGAGGATGTGTGGTGGACTCGATGCAGAGCAACAGAAGGCAAACATGCACGGTTCGCTCAATGCAGGAGCCGCAGGAAAATATGAGAAGCGGTGTAGGAAGGAGGCGCAGAATGAATGAAAGCTGCAGAGGAGCCTGCAGGCAACAAGCGGAGTAGCTGTGGTTGAAGGCAAACGTGCATCCTAGCCGGGCGTAACCAGCTCTATATCACCATGTCGGTTCTCTCCGTGCCGCACTTCAGATCCCCTGAATCTGTTGCGTTCAAGTCCTGGCTCTTTAACAACCTACCTATCCCGGCATCCGATAATCACCAATGGGTTGAAGTGGCTGACAATCTTTCACATCCAGAATGCGCAAATCTGGTGAAGGCTTGCCAATCTCTACTGAGACATGGGCGGCATCACATCCGAATAATACCGGCCGCACTACCCGCGCCACTTGCGCGTCACTTGTCGATATTCGGACGCGGAAAGAGAGGTGCAGATGCGGGATTCATCGTGTCCATTATTTAGTAAAGGAGCTGGCAGAGCCTGGAGCGACATGTTGTAAAAGTGGCGTTTCCTTAATGCTGTCGCTCGGAGCGGGGAAAGTGGAAGCGCCAATCAGCTTGTCTCCAGTACTTGCGCGCAAGTACTGGCGGCAAGCTGATTGGACCAAGCAAAATGGCTGCAGGACTTGACGGAACGCCTCACTGTGCTTCGCTCCAACTCACCTCCTCCTCCTCAACATGGATACCCTCAAAGTTGCCTTGAATGTCTTAATCAATGCCTTAACCGATGCCTCTGAGGATGATGTCCAGCAGTTACTCCGCTCTGAACGCACCAAAGTATACGAGACGGCGAAAAGGCTTCAATTATTGTCACCTCCGCCCGCGTCCCAATCTTCTGCTATACCCACTCTATCTCTCCTCTTTCCCGCCGATACTAGGGATACACCAACTCCCAACAGAGCCAGCAACGCATCAGTCGTTAATCATAATATCACTTCTTCGCCCTGTTCCCCCTCAGGCAGAACCAGCAACGCACCGACTGTTGGCTGCAATGGCACCTCTCCAACTTCTCCATCCTATCCCTCCTTAGACAGCACCAGCGACGTACTGAATATCAAAGCATCTACAAGGCATCGCCTCACCGATTGCGAAATCAAGTCAAAGTGCATATCGATACTTGATACTTTAAGTTCTCACCGCAAAAAAATTCGAAAATTTACAACTAAAACGGTACAAATTGCAGTTGGCCGTCCACCGAGCGAACAACTAGACCTAGACTTTCGCCTTTTAGATATCTCCCATGGTACCAGCCTCCACGCCAAAAGCGATCAGGATAAGTTTCGAGTCACCCTCGCCGAGATACATCTTGCATTAGAATTCGAGCAATGGGAAATTGCAGGATTCGGGGGTCTTTCAAGAATTCAAAAAATTATAAGAAACTTCGATACGGCAAACCAAAAAAGGGGCCGGGGGAGGACATTCCTGAGAGGACTCGGAATCCCCAGTAACAATTTGAAGATGGTGTCGCTAGCCCTTGGTCGCGGGATTAAATCTCTTGTCATCGAACGTCTGCTCTTCCAAGAGACCGTGCTACTACGGAAGAGTGGCAAATCCAGCAGGGCATCATCTGACGCAGCTGGGGGAACAGAATCTATCATGGGAACTGGCTCCACGTACGCGTCCGACGATCACGAAGAGACCATGCCCGACGATCACGAAGAGACCGTCTCCGATGAAGAGACGGACACGGACGAAGAGACCGTCCCCGACGAAGAGACGGACACCGACGAAGAGACGGACACCGACGAAGAGACCGTCCCCGACGAAGAGACGGACACCAACGAAGAAACGGACACCAATGATCACGAAGAGACAAACGCCAATGATTGCGAGATGAACATAGGAGTAGTAGCCTTTTCGACGTTTATATATACGGAGTGGCACAAGATACCTTATAATCACATTCAAATCTTCGTCCGGGAATTGTTAAGATATTGTAAACTGCTCAAGCTTGCGAAAAATACAACGCCCTGGATGAAGGAAGCCTAACGTTATTATAATAGTCAAGTTAATCGTAGTACAAAGCGAAAACGACAGCAGGCGGCCTCCCAGCCTGCTCCTCCTACCTCTCGCCGCAAGTTGATACACTCAGGCGAACCCGTAAATGCTTCCGGGTACCCAACTCGTCCACCTCCAAACTGCAGAACTCTAACGCTGATCCTCCATATAGTCAATCATACTCGCAACTCTTCACCGCTCCTCTATCAGAAAGCCTCACTAACGTGCTAACACACAACCATCAGACTAAACACTCAGGTTACTTATATGGGCGTCCTATATCACAGGGGAATGGGTGGAAATTATGCTCAGGAGCAGGAAATGGTGCGTGACACGGAACTTACTTTATAGCAAAGCTAACGTCTTCGTCACAGGCGAATATCCTCAGCAGCCGCAGACTCAACAAGTTCCAAGTAAGTACAAAAAATTCATTATAAATCACAGATATTGCTAATACCTAAAAGGCCATTATGGGGCGCCGCAGTTCCAACCAGAGGATATCCTAACAAACCACTACGATAACATGCCTGTACAGCCCTCCAACATGCCGACCAACCACTCCAACATCCTAACCAGCTACGACGACAACGTGTTTGAATGGCCTTCCGGCATGGCCAACCCCTCCGACATGCTAACCAGCTACGACGACGACGTGTGTGAATGGTCTTCCGGCATGGCCAACCCGTCCAACATTCCCCTCCGACAAACTGACCAGCCTCTCATGGTATCCACGCTACAAACCTCACGCCGTCGCTGATAAATGCTGGCTGCCCAGCGGCGCAGAAGATAGCATAGCCCAAAGAAATACTTTTTCGATCTGGGGATTGTTGGTATTGGGTTATGTAGACGCTGTCCTTCGTGATTCGAATAGGGATAACTATCTGATTATATGGGCCCCCTATGTATGATCCAGGTGGCCCAACCGCTCGGAATATTCCCGTGCGCCGCGAGAGCTGGTATATTTAGATATATGTATTAGTGAAGGCTAAGAGGAACGTACATCTGGAAATTGCTTCATTATAAAATTTGTTATAAAATTTGTTCTCTGCTTTTCTAAGGCAGAGGGCTGCCCCTCTGCTATACATTTCTCTAGTCTGCCTGCCCCTTCTAAATTTGCAGCAGTATATTCTTTGTCATGGACCTCCTCCCACGTTTCCAGTTCCTTATCAATATCTATTGGGAACTGATCGAGATGCGACGGCATGGGTAGTGTAGGTAGATGGAGTTGGTGGGTGGCTTGTTTTAATAGGCTGCGCGTAGATCTCTAAATAAACGGCATGTTAATAAAAATGGGAGAAAGCTGCAGGGCACGGTGCATTGCTTACCTGAGAGACGACACAAACTTTGCTGAAAGGGGGGCGTCTTCAAGGCGCTGTTGAAGTCTGCACATCCTGGCGAGGGGTAGACAGTTGGGCATTTGCTTAAAAGCCTAGACCATGTGACTGCCCCAATTTCCGGCCCCATCCGTGCTGGTCTCGTCACGCGCCACTCTCCGTATTTTGCCGGCTAGCGTAGTTCTGCGACTAAGCCACAGAGCCTCATCGAACGTCAACTCTCATGCCTTCCTTGACAACTCGGAGCACACCGCCAAAAAGATATTTACGACGTCATTTGACGGTTTACGCGCAGCACACTGTGGTCCACATACCTTCAGTGGCGTTTGGCGGCCTCGATTCAGGCCTCTTCTCGCCGAACATCAACACCATGCTCCAGCCTACCCATCGCAAACCCGCCGCCGAACAAAGCGCAGCTGCCTGTCATTCTCCTCGTTTCAACCCCAGCTCCTCGCAATTCTCCCCACAAGTGCGACACCAAGCTGCCGGCGTCATCAGGGACGGCATGCGCCGCCGTGGAAACCCGCTGCCCGTCCTCCTGCAACTTTAGCACAAGCCGTGGACTCCAAGAACCGCCTCACCATGCGCGACTATTCGACGCTGCGGCGTGTGAGCTCCGTTCTCTGTATGCAATTAAGTTGTCCATCCTTCCGCGCGAGAAGAATGCCTACCACTTACTCCTGTGTGCAACATGTGTAGTAGGATAACGCTGCTCCCTTTTGTCCTCGCCGCAAGTCGCGGTTGATCCTACATGCGCCTGCTATAAAGGAAGCTTCTCGGTTACTTTAGGAACAGCCCTTTATCACGCTCTACAGAAGCAAACGCCTAGATAATAAAATACCGATTGTTAACTTAACCGATCTTAAGGCCAAGTTTATTAAAGAGGTAGAGGAGGTAGAGCAAGCTTTAAAATGGGATTTACTAACAATATCTGTTCCTGTAGACGTCCACCGTTCTTATATAGAACTCGCGGAATCCCTTCCAGCAGTCCTACGCACACTGGCAGCAAGCTCTTAACCCAGATCGCTCCGCCAAATTCAATTAGCTCTTGCGCACGGTGCCGCATAAAGTTTTATAGATCGCGGTATATGTTTTGGCCGCCTACGCTACTAGGATTATCTACAGGCTTGGCAAGCGTGCAGTAGGCATAGAAGACTATCCGGTGGAACCTAGTCTATTATCTAATAATAGGACGTTATTAGACCTTCTTCCCGGAAAGGAATATATTAACATCGCGCAACTTACGGTCCCTTTTAGAGAGCAAATACACTCCCTTATTAAGGACGCTGCTATAATACTCTTTAGTTTAACTTCGGGTCTATAAGCCGTATACCACGCTGTAGATAAGGTAGTTAGGGATTCTAAAAATATAGTGGCTAGTCTTTTAAAAGAACTCTAGGTATATATACAGACTGTGGACTATCTAGTTAGCTAAAACCGTGACTAAATAATTAAAAAAGGGACGTCCGGCGGGTTTCCCTATAATACCGAACATATAAGGCTTTATATACTCTTCCGTTAATTCTTCCTAATTTCTTAACTAAGATATTACAATAACCTCTGCAAGTCTGTTAATACTATTTTGCTTTATTAATACTTTAGCACTCCGGCGGGCCAGGGCGAAAGTGGTGAGTTGTTCGAGACAATTATGTGCATCGCCCTTGCTTGCTCGATCCTCGGAGACAACGCCCCCTGCCTTCTTAGACTTTTGCTTCTGGGTCCCTTAGGCACCGGAAAGGGCCACCGCATGCATTGGCTTAAGGAAGTAATTGGCTGCCGCAAGCTGGAATTTAACTATGGTGATATGTCCGTCAACAATCTTTCTTTCAACCTATACCTCCGCCTGTTTAAGCTTAACGGGGATTAGTCGGACCTGAATTACTTAGGAAAGATTTCCGACGGTCTTTGGAGAACTGGGACGAAAAATCCGCTTATTAATATTAATAAGGTCGACTTTAAGGGGATGCCGCCGCAAGAGTTGGCCGCATGGAAGATCTTCCTTGGAAAGCAGCGCAAGGGTCACCCCCTTAGGGGACCTATAATCGCCGTGTCCACCAACAACAAGCGCGACGAGATTCCACAAGCAATCTTAAGGAGGTGCTTGGTTATCGAGACAGTCTCCCTTAATAGTGATGAAGTCGGGTATACCGCGGACGGCGTCTTGATCGGTTCGACCTCGGACATGAATATTGTTTCGACTATGCGGTCTTTTAGGGAGGCTCTGTACAGCAGCACGAAGCCAATCGAGAAGCTCCTACCTGATGAGGAGGTGCTACGGGCAAAGGCGATCAAAGTCGGTCAAGAGGTGCACACGAAGTTTAAATCATTTGCCGCAAAATTGAACGCCGACCCAGGGGGGCGAACTATCCAGAGAGTCCTGGCCTTTGTTCAGTGTTTTGCCATGGGGTATGTTTTGTTATACAAAGAAGGCATCCCGGACGACGCTCGTTTTGAGAGGTTGATCGAGTCTCTATCTGCGTTGATAGAGAAAGAGCCGAAGCCAGAGAAAGAGCCGAAGCCGGAGGAGTAAGGCGACGGGGCCAAGTCGTTGATGGTGTGATCACAGTTATCTAGATTTAGGAGGGCGGTGTAGGAGCAGACTAGCCGATAAATGGTATGCCTGCGAAATCAGAGGCCTTTCAATCGACGGATTGATGCGGAATTCAACATTCCGGCGATCAGGATTCCCATTCTAGTCCAGTTCATAATGTCGTGTTCCGCCTGCACCCATGATCGATAGCGTCTCCCGTGGGCGAAATCATGCCTGGCGCTCTATCCTCGCCACATCGGCTGTTGCATAGAAGCTGATGTTCAGATGCAGATTCGAGACTCGCAAATATACAGGCATCCCCACTCTTAGTTGGACCTTGCCTGTATTATTAGTTTGCGATGTAAGTTAGAACTGTTAAAGGAGGCAGGGTTTTATAACGGTGAACTTTCAGCATGTCCTTGAATAGCGCAGCCAATTCAAAGGCAACAAGCTGCTCTGACTGCCTATGGCGAGAAAGCGGTTGGCTTGGGCTACTCGGAGGGGTGGTTGCGGCACGAGCGTTTAAGGGCACTGCCGTGACGAGCTTAGATAGGACTGGCATTGTTGCTCTGCGAAGCTTCGATAGCGTAGCACTAATCTAAAATACAAGCTTGAAATAAGGAGTTAAGTGTGCAAAAGAAGTCGATAGTATTATTTTTCAAAAGAGATTTGCCTTCTTTTATACCCATTAATCCGAAATAAGTTGCAGCTGTGCCGCAAATATTTACTGCACCCCTTCTCCAGTTATGCAAGCTATCCCATATCGACCCTGGAAGACGCCAGGTCATATATTAGTATCGATTGACGTGGCGAGAAGCTTTACTAGGTACAGCCGTGTGGGAATGGGGCTGCTTGTGCAGACATCAGCAATAGTTTGGATGCGAGATTCCAGTGGCAGTAGCGTCTATTAGAGTGAGCGCCAGATCATACTAATATCCGCCGACATAGTAGAGGTATTGGGTACGTTTTTTGCCGTAGCTGCATGCGAGGATCTCAGTTCCGGAACTAGAGTGAGGTGAAGGGAGATGCGACTGCCGTGATCGATGGGCAGGAACCAGGTGAACGTCTTGGATTGATGAAACGAAAGAGAAGTAAGTAGAGCAAGGTAAAGGAGACATGGTTGGTCCGCGAACAAGCGAACCATTCAAAGATCAATGAATCAGTTACGCGGAGACCTGAGCCCGCCGATCCAGGCTGCAATATCGGGACAAGGTCGGTCGGAGGAGTGCCGCAAAATGTTAGAGAGAGACAAATCACTGGGATCCCGCCGCCTTTGGCGAGCAGTTGGTATTATGGAGGAAACGGAGGGGCTCAGGCGTTGTTGTGTCGAGACAGCATGGTTTAAAGGAAATGCTAGTAATAGCTACGGTGGTCTAATAACGTGAAAAGTGCAACAACTGAAAATCGAAAATTGAAACCGAGAACCCCGCACCACCAACCTGGACTTTAAGCTTCCATTTATTCAAGCTAGGACGTACGGATACTCACACGTGCGTCCAGATCTGGTCAACGAATTACCTAAGCTCTAATTGAAGGGCGTATCAACGAGTCCTACATTCACCCGCTCAGGTACCCAAATTGGCTGGGAAATGGGCGCCAGTTGCTCTTCCTATTTCTCTCGTTGTTCCTTTAACTGGCAGTCGTGGTTTTAGGGCCTTGTAGTATTTCACTACGTAGCGGTCAAGCGAGTCTTTGCGTTTGTAGGGGAGGATAGGTGAGGTCGGGGGCTTCCATCTCAACTTGGCGGTTGCGGTTCGGGCAAGGAGTGTCCTTGGACTTGGGAGAAAATTCTATCTATTATTGCCACGGCTCACCTCCCTTAATCGTCGGCGTACCCTCTGGGTCGACCTGTTGCGTGACATTAACGGAGAATTATGTGCTGAATGAGATCAAACTCTAAGGCCTCGCCAGAGTTCCATAGAGGCCAGCTTCATGGAAGCCTTCGGCAATTGATGTTGCCGTGCGACGTTGCTTAGTGAGGAGATGTAGAGATACACAGCTGAGTCGGCGAAGGATGGTTTGGTGTATTTGAGCGTGGGCAAGCACCAAGCAAAGATGGACACTTCGATGGATCGGAGAGTTGAGAAAGCGCCTCTGCGCGTCTGTATATTCCTGGAAGCGAGGAATCTCGAGAAAGGTCGTGACGGCGCCACTTTCCTCAGACCTGGGCCCGCTGGCGAGAAGGCGACGGCGTTGACGCTGGAGTTATGGCCCTCGAGCACGCTGCGGCAAGCATCCCAGTCGTCTTCCCGTTTTGACAATAACTTAATCCACTTTGGCATTTCGTCTACAAAAGCTTTTCGTACTATACTTGCTTCTGGGGCAAATATAAGAGCCGAGGAATATATTTGTAGAGGAGCATCTTGGAGTATATGTCGGAATCGAAGAGTAAATCGTCGAGCGTCATGGAGAAACGCAGAAAGAGCACTGTTTGATGCCTGTATTGCATGTTAGTGTAATACAACGTTAGAAAAAGGTAGAAACCTTACCTCAACGAGCGTAGAAAGTGTTTCTAACAAGGAAACACATTTGTGTGTATCTCTAATTAGACTCATCGCTTCAAGCCAGTGAAGGAAGTGTTTCTGGAGGAACGTATCTACAGTAGCCTTGTTGCTAACAAGACGCTGGCTCTGCTTGAGGTGATACACCCAGTAGCGGCAAGCATACTGCAACTCAGGCGACAGGTAGGTTGAAATTTCTCCTTCATCAACCTCGCTTCTCAAAGTCCCAGGCTCTAAGTCGCACATGTTCTGTTGTAGGCTGTTAGGGCCGGACATGAGTTAAAGGCAATGAGACGCTAACCTCTCGTGTCTCGCTCTCTCATCTACCCAGAAGGGGCTCTGTCCCTGTTTTCGAGGGTCGACAAGGAACTCGCGAAAGGACAAATGCAGCAGCCTGACTGGCATATCTTCCTGGTTAGGAACATTAAGAACAGAGTGCAAAGAGTCTAGCCGACAGGTGATCTCCTCTTGGGGCACTTGGAGAAGGCGTGCAAGTGAGATGCGAGAAAGCGGCCTCGCTAGAACGACAATACTGCCTAGAAGTTCTCTAAATGCATGAAGCCACTCTTCCTTCTCGTCTTCCTGCTCATCAAGTAGCTGGTCTAGAGCAGGGAGGTAGGTTCGATCTAGCTGCGAAAAAGTCGACTTTCGATACTCCAGAACTTTGCGTAAGTACCCTTCCGGGTTACCTCCTTTGCTGCCAATATATCGACACACAGTAGCAGCATAGATGAATAGCGGCACAGCTAGCTCAACTAGAGCCTGAATCTGGTGTGTCGCTGGCCAGTCTGAGGACAGCATGCGCGCTTTTCGTATTGTACCAAGCTCATGCTCTAGGAAGAGACGTATGTCGTGTTTAATCGTAGTTCTTGGTACCTCGTGAAGGACTAGGTCTTGGTATGTGCCGTTCGGCATCTCCTTGAAGCCGAGGCGAATGTAGAGCTCTGGTCGGCTAGTTACTACGATCCGTAACGGCACTGGCCGGATAGCCTTCGTCCGAGCAAGCAGCTGAAGGATCGTTCGGATGTCTTGCTCTTGCTCACATTCGTCGAGCGCGTCTAGTACGACAACGCGCGCCAAGGTCTGGGAACAGGCCTGCTTTATCCCCACGAGTGGCTGCAGGATCAGCTTCTCGAACTGGTCTTCCAGAACTCTATCCGAAATAGCTGAGTCCTCGTCGAGCGCCTTCCTAATGCCGGGTAGCATGCCTGGCTCACAAGCCACCAAGTCGTTAGCGATGGTGGAGAAGAATCGTGAGGCGTTGCCGCGCTCGCCTTCGCCTCTCTTAAAGAAGAAGCTTGCTCCAAGCTGGCCGTGGCTGGCAAATGACTGGGCAATCGTCCGCGCAATTGTGGACTTTCCCGTACCAGCCATGCCGCTCAGCCAGAATATAGGTTTGCTCTCCTCGGCATTCGCCCAATTCGCGATGTCGTGCAATAGCGCGGTGCGGGTGTTCGGTAGACATCGTGAGTTGTGTTCTTCGGCATGGGAGTTATAGGAAGCGCCGGTCGCGATGGGCAAGTTGATGGAGTTGTGCTCTCGAATCGCTTTCCGCAATCGGTCTAAGGCCTTCTGCCGCCCTTCTCCGTAGAGAAGCGGTATCTGGACGTCGAAGATGCCTAGAAGCGGGTACGCTGCGTCTTCCTCGCGCTTTGTGTTGCGTCTTCGTGCCCACGACATCCGTTCGTCCACAGTGAAGGAATCCATCGGACTTCCTTCAAGGGCTTGCACAGCGATTCCAGTGATTTCATAAAGAGTCTGCATCAAAGATCGCTTATCGCCAAGCCGATCACCCTCTTTAGAGAAAAACTCAACCGATGCCGGGGCAATAAGTTCCTGAAGCGTCCAGCCTCGAGTAAACCATCTGCTCTTCCCAATTGCCGGTTCCCTTCTCCGATGCCCGTCGCTATTATTTTCAGCGGCTCCGCTGGAGACGTCGGAAAGATAAACGTAGCATCTCTTTGCGTTCTTGTACCAGCGAAACATGGAGATGATCGCTTCTGAAAGCTCTGAGTTGTTTGACTTGTCGATGCAGCAGGTGTCTATCCAGAAGTGACGCAGGCCGTCACTCTCAGCCTGTTGTGCGCAAAACCGGATCTTGTCGTATCCCGTCTTGCTCTTTCCGCTGTCCTTTGTTATATCATCAAAGGTCACTTCTTGATCCTCCACCCAGGTATGAGACAGTATCGCGTAAGGGGGGACCAGATCGTCGCCGATCAAGTCCTTCGTCCAGCCAAGCTGGTCGCCACTCGTGTAGTACAATAGTCGCATCGCGTCGTGTACAAGGCCCGTCAGGCTAGCGATGGAGGGATCGGTGGAGTATGGCGGCTCGCCCGCTCGCTAGGGCAACGGTCGTCGATAGTGTAGTTAGGGCTGTCGCGAGTGACAGAGTTCATTGACTTGCGTATGAGAGCCAAATCCACCTTAGCAGCTGTGTAGAAAGTCTGTGATTACGACAGACTGTATCGTGGGTGCGCAGGGTGGAAGGCGCAGCCCAGATTGTGAACGAGCAAGGCTGCAGCATGTAGAGCTGAGAGCTGAGGGAATTTCATCGCGAACGAAACAGCCTGCATGCTTCAGCTACGCCAACAGACAGGCAAATACATCTCGCATTACTTATTGAGAACGCGACAATATAGAGTGTGGGATATAGACCGCATGTGGCTGGCTCGGTCCACAACAGCGAATGCGATGATGGTGATGGAATATTAGATTACATTCTGATCTTGATGTAAGATATACAGAATCGTCCTGTACTAACCACAACTAGAAATCGCTCAGATCCGAAGTACGAACAGGGGTGGCAATCTTGCATGGAAATGCGCGCCACAGCAGACATAAGGCTGATGGTGACTTTCTAGAATTTTAGTAAGCTTCTACAGTTTAGAGAACACCGTTTATTTGCATCGTAGGGTTGCAAAAGCTTGATGGTGGTGCTGTACAGAAGGAAGTCTGCTTCGCTAGAAAAGAAGACTCTGTATAAATCGGCAGGGAGGCGACGATGCGTGACGTAATTTTTAGATAGAAGAGGTCCTAGATGTTAAAGAATAGCTGCAATATATAATCTATAAAGACTTGTCGCGAATTTGAATAAGTACACAGATTTTGAGTCGCTTGAAGTTGAAGTACCCCTCATATTTCTCGGCGCGGGGTGTTTCTCGACCCGCAGTGAGGGACGTTAGGCCACTATTCCGGAAACTTGCGCACTCGAGTAGACCCTACGCAGCTTCCACTATGCCTTCCCTACGGTTAAAGTAATGATTGGTGCACAGTGTCGCTGATGTGGGTCCTATGCGGATTCGCGTCGTCAAACTTCTCATGCGATTCGATATGTCTTGCCGAGTAACTTAGTCATCCTCTGCATGCTATGCAATTTCGCATCTTATCTTGGGTATTTTTAGTTATCCTGCTTACCCTGTGCAATTTCAAATTTCACCTTAGAGTTTAGCTTAGGTTGCACTACTGATCTGTGTTTGCCCAAGCACTAATATCTGCTAGGAAATCTTCATGGAATCCCGAAGACAAGTGTAACGTCCAATCCTCTCTATAAATGTTATAAATGAGAAATTGCGTCTTGCGCACTCTGCAATTAACTAATATGGATATGAGATGCATAAATACACCATTTCGCTTGGCAAAGCCTACGATTACTGGGCAGGCCAACTTCAGCAAGACTTCCAGGGAACGATTTCCAAGATAGAGAAAGCACACGGGGCTTTGCAGGATCAATATGATGAGATCCTTGCGACAGATGCTGTTTTGCACCATCAGCTTGGGCTGGTCAGGCAAGACGCAGAGGCCGACAGCGACCAACTTCAACAGTGTCAGAAAGTGGCAGTTGAGAAAAACTCAGGTTGAAATTGATGTGAACTCTGCTTGTATTCTCGTGGCCGTACGGGCCGAATATATACTAATAGGAAATAGCCCACCCCCTAGGTCTATCAGTCTAGCTGAATAGAGGCCAACTGAAAGGAATGGACCCAGCTGAGAGGACCCTGGTGTAGCTGAACAGAGGACCTCGCCACGTTGAGTGCGCGCTAGTAGCAACCAACTAAAGAACGAGAATTAAGGAGAGAGAAAGGGGGGGAGTGCCTGTACGTAGGTGACCGTGAACCGTATAAGTTGTTGATCCTAGGTTGTAGCTGTTACAGCCCGAGTGAAACACGTTAATACTCAGGTTGAAAATTGATGTGAACTCTGCTTGTATTGTAGTGGCCGTACGGGCCGAATATATACTAATAGGAAATAGCCCACCCCCTAGGTCTTATCAGCTCAGCTGAATAGAGGCCAGCTGAAAGGAATGGACACAGCTGAGAGGACCCTGGTGTAGCTGAACAGAGGGCCTCGCCACGCTGAGTGCGTGCTAGTAGCAACCAATCAAAGACCGAGAATCAAGGAGAGAGAAAAGGGGGGGAGTGCCTGTACGTAGGTGACCGTGAACCGTATGAGTTGTTGATCCTAGGTTGTAGCTGTTACAACCCGAGTTTAATAGAACTAAGCTTTAGGACGAAAGCGCAGTGGCGAGCGACTCCGCCTCAGCAACCGGATCTCAAACAATGGAAAAGCAACAGAAGCGAAGTAAGCCGAACTAAACTAGCTACAATGAGGGCAGTCACGTGTCACAGAACATGTACTAGCAAATGCGATTCCTTTCCCTCCAACGGTAGCAAACTTTGCCGTAATGCAACTTATTCAAATGGCCCATTCTGCCAATCGCAAGGCTGAAACAAGGCTCGTCCTTGCAGAAGACGGGGTTACATGCGAATTCATTATTGCATAAGAAATGGTCTAAGCTCTGGTACCCTAGGTTGACCCAGGGGCACAACTAATACCAAGTCCACGGTCGAAGCTTGTTTAGATAGCACTAGGAACAAGATTCTTCGATTACGATCCAGCAAACGTACCAGCAATTTATAAATCTGCTCTTAACATTACTGTTGAAATACTGCCTCGAAGGAAATGCGATATCAGACAGCGCCAACATTACCCTTACCACGCCTGAACATGGCCCTCAGTGCACTCACCTTTTCACTTAATATGGGACGAAAGTCCAACTTCTTTAGGTAGATAGTGTCATCCAACATGCTTCGAACTATCTCGCGAAGTTTGTCACCTACTTCATCATTCGTACACACTGTCCACCCGTTAGTATTAGCCGACAGGGTAAGTTGGAAAACTTACGAGAGACTACAGTAAGGCCCTTTCGGATTTTAAACTCAGCTCTAATTAGCTCCTTAGCATTTATAGCATTATAGGTAATATCGATGCGCTCTCCGATTTGCTTATAATCTCCTCTCCGTGTTTCTTTCGAGAGGAAATTCCCCCGCACGAAAAGGCGGATGTTAAGGATCTGTAAGCTTGTTAGCATTATTAGCGTTAATCTTAGTATAAGAAGGCGAACATACACGCCCAGTATCTTGTTCCTTTAGCAGATGTTGCATCCTATCGGCGACCCAAGCGGTTTGTACTACCCTTAATTAGCTAACCCGCCACGCGGTTAGGAATAACGCTTACATTCAGACTCTACTTCCCAGAAGAGAGCTATCCGTCTTATCTTTACTTTGCAGTTATAGTATCCCTTTAAAAGCTTTTCAATATAGGGCAACTGGCCAGCAATCCCTATACTAGTAGCAAATAAGAGCACGGTACTATATAAATCAAGTTAAAGCTCCTTTCCGTACGGTCCCTCGATAATAGCTCTTATCTTGGAATTGTTATCAAAGTTACTGCTAGTGTGCAGCAGCAGGTTCTTAGTAAATCCCTTCTATCTCTAGATAATAAATACAATATATTTATTACTATTATTATCGCGATAACTCTAAGATATATAGAATAGATATAGCTAAGCAAATAATATATAACTTACTTCTGGAATACAAAGGTAGGCATACTAACTAGCTTTAGATTTCCAGGGCCTTAACAGTCGGACGTGTATATAACAGCATTTAAAACAGGTATATCCCCTCTATACAGCTTCTTAAACGTTATTACCCGAACTAAAGCTTAGTTAAGCGGCTTTCTAAATTTTATATTATAGTATAGAATATAGTAGAGCCGAGCAGCGGCGCTAATTACTTAAAGAGAAACTGCAGCAACTAAATATACTACTAGAGGTTTTAACAGTATTCTAGAGGAAGTATAGAGATATATACTACTAATAGCTACTATAGCAAATATTAGGTAAAGGTTTAAAAAGACTTTATACGCACGCGAGCGGAGGGGCCTAGAATAAAGCATAATAAGGAATATAATTCTAACCTAGATATATTAGCAATATCTCTATTATATGCTGTTAAGACTTATAGTAAGAGCCGCAGCATCCGGCAGTATATAGAGGTTAGGCTTACGGTATAAAACTGCTCCTACTATATAAATAAGACCTTTAATAATTATTACTGTTCCTAACTATTAATAAAATCTTATATAAGTAGGTAGACTAATACTATAGAGATATACTATAGGGTTTATATTAGCCCCTACTAATAATAGCATAAGGTTAATAATAGAGACTAGCCCTAATTATTTAGTAAACTTAAGTAGCCCTTTAATATTAATAGCGAGGCAAAAAGCATTCCCTACTAAGAACGCAAATATAATAAGAAGGTTTAACCGCGTTACCTTACTAGATCTTTTTAAGTATTAATAAATCTAAGGGTAGGTTATATACTTACGGAAATAGAATACTCTATAGGCGCGTATAATAGTAACTAAAAAGAATAAATAAGCAACTATAGGCAGTTCTAGAAGATATCTAAGGGAAACAGTATACTACTAGGTAATATCTATTTTAATATCTAAAATACTAAAATTAAATAAGCTATCTTTATTTTTTATATCCTATTTTAGTGCATTAAATATATATAAGCTAAAATTAAGTAATCTAAGTAAAGAATAAAGGATATAATTTGGGCCAGTACTAAGGCGCAGTTGCTACTATTTCTGGAACCTGTTAAGGATAAGGCCGCTATAATAGCCCTAAAGTGTCCCTCTTAATAGTAATATACGTTTCTAGGAAGTAAGACCCCCTAGGTGGCGGGCAAATTAATAGGTATATTAACTTTACATAACTTAAACTCTGTGCACACCTTAATATTTCCTGCAGTTCTCTACTAGCTATATACTATAGCTACTCCTAAATACCCGGAACCCCTCGCATCTAAAAATTACGTTTATATTATCGCCTCTAAGCTCGATTTACAGAGAGTCTTCTTTTATAGCGTAATAGATTTCCTTTGCTACAGCACCACTTTTAAGCTTTTATCACTCCTAATACTTATAAACGGGCCTTATCCGAGCTATAGAGCATTATTACTATACTTAGAAGTTGTTACCAGTTTTATAGCTGCTATCGCACGCAGATTTATATAGAGTCGCCACGTCGATCGGTACCTCCAGCCGAAGCGATCACTAATACCGGTTCGTGCGATACAGTTCCGTACGTCCGAAATAATTACAACAGTATAATTTACTTATAGTAATTAAGCCCAGCCCGTAACCGTTAGGCCTGTGGCTAATTAAAGGACACGACGAAGGAGCCTGTTTCTTAAGGACCACTAAAATAAGGCGGCGACCTAATAATGGCCACCTAAGTTCGCACCTTGTTTAAAGAGCCCTGGAAATAGGCCGCTTGCTACCCGCTTCTAGACGCCTGTTTCCAGCACCCTAACTGGGTGCTTCTCCCCAACGGCATCGCCATCGGTCGAGCTGTTTACTACGGCTAAGGACTTAAGAAAAATAAGCTCGTATTAACTGCAAGACATATCTCTAAAATAATAACATCCCTCCCTACGTCGCCGGACGCCCCTTGTTACCGGATAAGTCTATTATTCGGGCACACTAATTCTTCCCCTCGCAAGTCTATTAAGTTATATTCGGAATACAAATATTCTTTAGCTATCTCTCCTTAGGAAACCGGTCTGCGATAAGAAAATTACCGCGGTTTTAGTTATACTATTAATTATTTTGTTAATAACGTTAAGAGCTACTCTAGTAAATCCCCTCTACCTATTACAACTATTAGCCTATCTATAAATTCCAAGGCTATAGTATAAAGGTTCTATTAAGAAAGAATATTGCTATAAGTTTTAAAGATAATAATCTATTAGAATTAAGTATTCCGAGTTTAACTAAGTAAAAGAAGGAGTTTATTTAGCTTATAAGTCTTAGTATACAGATTTAGCTTGCTTCTATTTTACTTATAATAAAGTAAGCCCAGCCTTAGGCCTGTAGTTATACTAAGCATTTAGCTTAGTTAGCGGCAATACTTATAATCGCGCGGACGCCTAATTTAATTAACTATTATTTTACTTCTACTTTTATACTACTACTGTTTACTATTAGGCGTTCTAGTGTGCGCTAATATACGGATATAGTTATCGTCTATTATACTTTTTATAGACTAATATAAAGGTAGTATAAGGTCTGCTATTTTTAACAGAGTCCTATATAATTCTCTGTTTTCTTTGTTAATAAATAACTTTAACATCTTAACTACTTTAATTATATCCTTTATCTTCTCCAATGCGAGGCCGCTTCTTACTTATCGCTTCGACCTCTTCTTGTCGCCGTTTGCCTAATATTAGGTCGTGCTGCTAAATTCCTTCTATCTATTTCTATATCCTTACTATAAGATCTAACAGTTGCCTATAATTACTATTAGGGTTAAATTCGGCACTACTACGCAACGTGCTTAAAACTAAGCCTTTATAGCGGCCTAAGCAACCTGTAGAGTAGCCTATAGTTAAACTTTTATTACTAATCCAGCCAGGCGCGACGGTTAATAAATAGGCGGAATCGCCGCGTAATCGAGAGGGCCTACTCCTATCTAAAGTTGTTAGAGTATAATCCAGCCTATTCTAATCCCTTTTATTAATATTAACGCGCAAAAGTAGCAACGTTGCTAATATCTGCCGATACTAATGCGAGGCTGCTAAATGCAGTACTGTTTTGCTATTTTTATCCTTTGCTATAATATTAGCCCCGTTCTCCAGGAGAAGCCTTGCTAATTCCTCGCGCGCTAATGAATAAATCTCCCCGCAAGCCTAATACATTGGCGTTTTGCCCTTATTATTTCTTGTGTTGATATCGGCTCTATTCTCTAAGAAAAGCCTTACTGCTGCTATACTTATCTACTCCCCGTAAGCCTAATACAGTGCTGTTACGCTATTAATATCCTTTGCTTTAATATTAGCCCTACTTTCCAGCAGAATCCCTACTTTATAGCACTAAATAGTAACTTCCTTATAAGCTAAATATAGTGCTGTTCTATTACTATTATCCTTTACTTTAATATCGGCCCTAATTTTTAGGAGAAGCCGCAGTATCTAATTATTACCCTTAGCTGCCTAATGCAGTACTATTCTGCTATTATTATCTCTTGCGTTAATATTGGCCCTATTCTCCAAGAGAAGCTCCGCTATATTCTTGCACCCTCTCTAATAAACCCCGGACACATAATATAGTGCTGTTACGCTATCCTTATTTCCTGTATTAATATCGGCTTTCCTCTTTAGAAGCAGTTATATTACTTCCTTTTTTACTTCTTTATTATGCCTACTCTTAATTATCTAATATAGAGGCGTCTGGCCTTCCCACCCTTATAATTTAAGTAAAAATCCTCCTGCTTTAATAGTTCCTATACTACTACCGTTAGGTATATATTTTTTAGCGCCAGCTTAAGCCCTTTATAAACATCTCTATCTAGTAGAAGGGAGCAGTTAATAGAGATAAAATTCTAAATAGTAAGGTTAATAGCTTTTTAAATTAGAGCAAGCGGTTAGCAGCCGGTTTTATAATTAAGTAGTGCGGGTTAAAAGAAATACTAATATAAGATATTTTGTAGTCTAAAACCGCAGCGTCCGCATATATTACTTTTATCCCCGGCACCTAATCCCTTATTCCTTAGATTTATTAAGTAAGCAACTCTAGCTTTGCTTACCGCTTTAGAACCGTAGAAGGCACAGGTTACTTTTAAGTCGGTCTATTCCTTAAAGAAGAAATATTTTAAGATAGCCTGCTGCAACTTTCCAGGGAGTTGGAGGAGTGGACTTTCTAGGGATTAAGCTGGAAGTAGAACTTTAACAGCGTCGCAATCTGCTGCTATCTAGAGATTTAATAGAAGAAAGTACAGTAGGATTAACAAATATCTACGGTGGATAGGTAACGTTGTCTGGTTGGGAGTCGAAGCGGCAGGTTTAGCGCGCCAAGAAGTAAGTCCTTGCGCGCGATAACGTGACGCTCCTTCGCCGTAGCGGGGAACTTCCTGTTACCAACGCCTGAGAATAGCCACTTTATTAACTTAGCGCCCTTTTTTTAACTCTACTTCGCTAATCGCTTATAGCGCAGTTTAGCAAAGTCGCTCTATATTTAAGCCTATAATCTACCTTTTACGCTTTTTACCTACTCTATTTATAGTTACCTATAGGTTGTATTTTTACAGCTACTAAGGTGAATATTACAGGGCTTATTCTATTCTTTAGCTTAGAATAGGCGGATAGGTCTTTATATAAATTATAGTGTTCCTTCTAATTAACTTAGTATTTCTAGAGCCTCTATTTCTATACTAACCTTAATACTATTATCCGGCTTACGCCTAATTAAATATAATTTATATCCCGGCTTACTAGAGGGAGAAGCAGGTTTATTAGTAGATAAAGTAGCGCGGATAAGCGAAGTTAAGCTTCTAGAGGTTAAGCCAGCAAAGGCCCTAGTAGCGCGGATATATTAGTTATAGAAATAAAAGGATAAAGTTTATATAAAGCCACTTTAAATTATATTAGTTCTTGCTAACTACTTTAGAGTTAGATTTTTATATTCTAAGTATTTACAGGCCTAATAGCTATAGGCCCTAATAGCTATAGCTATAACAGCTATAAGCTTAGCTTACTAAA